TACCCAGGTTTGATAGCACATTCTGTGGGCGATGCCTGAATTGCATTGCTCATAGGGGTGCAAAGTGAGCCTCCCCTCAGGGAGGAGGATTTGGCTGTGTATAATGCAGTTACTTATGACTTTATTCTCTGACCCAACAATCCTACCTTTTTGGACTTGATTCCAAAGATAATCTGGGATGGATACAGAATAATATGCACACTGCTATTCATTGCAGCACTATGGTGTGATAATAAAAAGCTAAATAATCAGATCTGGAGATCTAGATTGCATCTGACTAGGCTAAAGTTTGTAGTCTTCCAAACCAGTTCTGACATCCCAGCTCAGGCATTGGCAATATTTGGCTAATGTGCAGATGATTTTCAGTTTCATGTGGGAAGTTAACAGTAGTGCTGTAGGCCGAATCTCAAAGTAAGTAAAAAAAAAAATTGAGGGGTCCTCTGCAAGTCTTTCTCCAAATGTGGTGCCTTCTTACTGTCTTCCTGCCTCAGTCCATTCTTGTCCATCTACCTAGTCCTTCTTTTCCTAAGGGCTCTTTTGTAAAACTGCTTCTTCCTCCTAGGTATCGGAGGACCTGGCATGAAGGCTCTGATTAAGGCAAGACCTTCTCTTCCTTGATACTTAGCTCAATAACTTACTCATTTACTAGTGGTAGTATATCTGAACACTTATTTTCTTTTGGGTGATGAAGTTCTGGAAAGACATGTTTTTTGGGTATTTCTTATTTGTTCTCGACGGTGCCACTCCAAGATAGATAGGCTAATCTCACGTATTTCTTTTGTTTCAGATGCATTTTATCCCATCCTATCTCCTGTGTTAATGTTTGAAGTTGGCATATAGGTTAAAATTAGCAAAGACATGAATGTAATGTTCCACTCCTCTTGCAGAGCTGTTACAAAGTTGATATAGTGCCTTTTTATAGTTGGTGGCATCTTAGAACCCAGGAAATGTGTTCTTTAGGGGACCAAAAATATGGAATCAGCATTCTTTATTGGCTTACAGCCATACACAATACTTCTTCTCAGTCCCCTTGTGCAGTGAGTTTGTTTTCTGAGCTACTTAGTGAAAAGGAGGGGCCTTTGCTGGGTGATTGTGGGTTGGCACAGAGCAAACAAATACAATTGAGAAAGGAAAATGAAAAAGTCTGGATAATCATTTTATTCTTTCATTAACAATACTAATATTATACAGACAGCTATAGTCCTTGAACTTGCAGCATTTAACATCATTGATATCTCCTACTTCAAATATTAATACTTTTTTCTCTGGATTTCAGTGACATTATATGCCCTAGTTTTTATCCTTCTATCCTATTGGCTGCTCTTTTTTCAATGTCACTTTCTCATCTCAGCTTGTCTACGAGACCTCTGAATGACCCAGTGTTTTGTGTTGTACTTTTTCCTGTTCTTTCTCGGCTTCCCTTCCACCACTCCTTAGGTGAACTTACCATCCAGCCCCGTAGATTTAGGTATCTTCTAGCATCCAACCTTTTGGCTCCCCAGGGCCACACTGGAAGAAGAGTTGTTTTGGGCCACATACTAAATACACAAACACTAATGAAAACTGATGAGGAAAGAAAAGGTTTTAAGTAAATTTACGATTTTGTATTAGGCCACATTTCATGGCCATCCTGGGCTGCACGCATCCCGCAGGCCATGGGTAGGACACCCTTGCTAAAATTTTGGTTGTCCTATTTTTGTCTCCAGCCCAAAAGACTCCTTTGAGCTTTGGTTTCATATATCCAAATGGCTGATCAGTATTTCTAATTGGATATTTCATAGGGATCTCAAAAATATACCATGCCATAAAACCCCCTACTGATTTTCTCATCCCCAAATCTGTTTCTTTCCAAACCCTCCCTGTCTCACTGAATTGCACCACAGCCAACTGACATGCAGGCCAAAATCCTTTCCCTGTGCTCGGGAATCCTATCTGATTATCTTTGGTAGGATTCAGATCTAATCTTTCAGTGAGTTCTCTTGAGTCCAGCTCCAAAATATGCCTCCACCTACTCCTCACTCTTGCCATTGCTATAATTCTGGTCCAGGTGCCACCTGGTTTTCTTGCTTATGATTTTTTTCCCACTGCTTTTTCATTTGCCCCATCTGTGGTCCTGTCTTCAGAGTGCTTCCAGAATGGGCTTTCTGAAGTAGAAATCTGTTCGTGTTTGAAACTCATTGCCAGCATGTAACCTGGTTCCTGCCTACCTCTTTGGCCTTTCTCTCCCCACTCTCCCTATGTCCAGTCACACTGGTGTTCTGTCTGTTCCTAGAGCATGGTAAGCTCGCTCTCTTTGAAGTCCTTTGCTTTTGTAGGATCTTCTCTGAAAGCTCTTTCTTCCCATCTTTGCAGATTCTTTTCCATTATTTAAGCCACAATTCAGATTTGAATTTCTGAGGGAGATGCAGTTGGGCCGTCATTGCGTTTCGTTGTTGACTATTTTATGCTTGTAAGTAGAATTGTATTTTGACAATATTTAGTAAAGATACAGTAACACAAAACTAAATTCAGAAATAATTTGTTAAGAAACTGTTCTCATTGGAAGAAAGACTTATCTTTTGTGGGTGGTCACTAAAAAGTTAGGTAAGTTTGTCAGCATTTTGGTGTATTCACCACTTTCCTGTTGATTGCAACTGTTGGGTCACCATGTAGTGTTCGCTTTATTTTGACCGAATTCCAGACAGAATAGGATGATTTGCTGTGTTTATTGCTAAAATGGTAAAAGTTGTCTGATGGCTTTAAGGTGACTGAATGGAGAATGTGCCAGGAGACCAACCTGACATCTGGCACAGGTAGCTCTGTCTCTAGATTTTTGTTTGTTTAAAAAAAAAAACCCCACAGTCTCTGTATTTTTATTATTATAACAGACATCCATGACTTTTTGTTATATGTGTACCACATTGCTCGTAGTTTTTGCTTCATCTTTGGAAATTCAACATTTGGTAGCTTAGTTGGTTAGAGTGTTGGCCTAATGTACCAGAATCCAGGTCTGACCCCTGGTTAGGGCACCTACCAGAATTAACCAATGAAAGCATAAATAAGTAGAAGAAGAAATTGATGTTTCTCTTTTGCTCCCTTCTTCTCTCTAAAACCAATGAATAAAAAAATTCAACATTTGTTTAATAAATATTTAATGAGTACCCACTATGTACTAGGCACTATAACAAGTGCTGGGGATATAGATGTGAATAGATACTCTCAGTTCTCAATATTTGTTAATTAAATTGGTGACCTTCCTGAAGCTTATGTCAGAAGATTAGTATGACCTTCGGAGCTTTAGGAGGTTGGTAAAAGTGCTATATGTATGTAGTTTCACACATTGTCCCTCTCTTTCTTCTTGCACCTCCTTGTGTATTGTGTAGTGTTCCATGGCTATTCGAATGTCTGTTTTGTGCCCATTACTGCGTTCGGACCTGGTCATTCAGAGAGCCCCAGGTGGAAGCGGCTTCAGTATTTTTTTAATAGTAATAAGTACAGGCTGGAAAAATGAATCATTTTAATACAGAGTTAGAAAGTACCAGAATAATCTATGCACAGTCTACTATGGAAGTGCAGAGAAGGGGCATCTGACAAATCTCAAGCTGAGACTGAAGGATGTGTAGGAGTTAGCTGGGTGGATAGGTACAAGTTGCCATTCGGAAGAAAATAAAGGTATTGTAGGCGGATAGCAGAGTACAAGGTTTAGGAATTCCAGGTAATTTGGTATGGCTGGAGGGATAGATGAATTTAGGGAGAAGTGAATGTTGAAGCTGAGGAGCTGCTAGATCTGGACAGGCGTTGAATATCAATGTGCAATCATTGGAATATTACAAGAACACTAAGATCAGATGGCATTGTAGGGAATAGTTTGTAGGGAACTGGAGGAGGTTGGTGAATTCTCATCATTTCTGAATTTAAGCAGGGAAGTAACATAATCAAATTTATGTTTTATGAAGTGCCACTCTGGCTGTTGGGTGGGTCATACACTGTGGTGTGGGGTTATGAATAGGAGGAGGGACTGGAGTTAGGATAGATCGTAGTACTCAGCGGGAATATAGTAATAAGAAACTTCTCTTGCCTTTTTAGCATTTCAGGAATTTTGGGATCCTGCCTCTTTAGAACAATGTTTTACTGTTTTTATAATAAAATGCTGGGGGGAAAAGTTCTTGCCCAGTTGCTAGAAGCTTTGATGTGCTCACCCTCCCTCTCACGTAATGCTGTCACTTGACGCTCCCTTCTCATGTCGGTGGTACGCACAGACATCTGCGATTCCTCTTAGTCGTGCCCTTCACGTCTTTGACCTCAGCTTCTGTTCCTCCAGAAATACCGTTGAAGGTGCTGCAGTTTTCAATTTTGGTTTTCCTTTTGTTGTGTTAATCCTATTTTAAAGTGGAAGTCCTTTTAGGGAGCAAGGTAGTTGGACTGGCATCAGGCATTTATAAATTCATTTCACTGGACACAATGGATTTGAGTGATGTGTTGCACTGTTAGTGCATTTATTATAGAATATAACTATCTAATCAAATTGTTGGGAGAAATAAAAGCCTCAGTTTAAGATAAATCTTTAACTTTTTTCAAGGAAGACAAATTATATTTTTAATAACTCTCAAGCTGGAGAGTATTCAGTGTATGATAATACATGTACTTGAAAAATATTAACATGCAGCCCCAAAGGGGTCATTTCATGGTCAGAGCTCAGATGAGGACAGTTACACTTTAGTTTTTGGAAGTTATTGAATACTCTCAAGTATTGAAAATATAGGAAGCAAATGATGATCCTCCTTATATTTTACATGAAAAGATAATAGCACAGGTCATACACTTTAATATTTATTTCTCATGAATATTCCCGTGTTATAGCAGTTAGCCCTTCTATTGCAATTGCCTGTTTACTTGACTCTGTTCTCTGCCTCTGTCTGCTTTTGAGACCCCAGCGGGCCCAGTGCTCTCTGAGAAAGCCCTTGGATACTTCTGATGGTTAAATGTCATACTTTTCTTTCTCGTATTCATTTTTTTAATAGAAAATGCATCAGACGCAGATCTGTGGCTCCTGAATAGTTGTACTGTAAAAAACCCGGCTGAAGATCACTTTAGAAACTCAATTAAGTAAGTAGAAGTTGATTTTTTTCTTGATTTTTTATAAGTGAGGTAATAGTTATTTTAAGGAAATTAGCTTTTAAAACATTGTTAATATAAATATTCAGTGTGTATTTAAAAAGCATGACTTTGACTTTTAACATTCTATTGCATTTATCTGATAAAGAAGGAAACTTTAATGTAGACTTTTCTAATAGGTGATTTGAGTATTTGTGAAGTTAGCTAATAGGTGATCAGAATATTTGTTAAGGAACAACAACACGCTCTTCTCAGGGAACGCATCCTGCACTTTTTGAAAATACCCAAAGCAATCCTCACCTCTTTCCCTTCTCTGCCCATTGGCACTGCACGGCCTGGCTATCAGAGGGAATGCAGTTTGTTGGGGGAGATGGGCCTGTAAGTCCTTGTTTTTTGCTTTGTTCCCTCAAATTGAAGTAAAAGAAGTATTTTTTTTATATGTGCTCTGAACCTTACTCCACCCTCCTTCTTAGAAATCTCATTTTATAAATTATTTTGTAATTCTCCCATGTTTTTAACCTTTGCAGTTCCACTGGTGCCTCGTCATTGGTATTAAACATGCTCAGGTCTAATCACGCCCATGTACCCCTTTGAGCTGTCGTCCTGTTTTTCTTCTTGCTTTCCCTGCCTGAGTTAAGATTCTTCACCTCCTGACTTCACTCTCAAACTCGTTTCCTTATTCCCTCAAATTGGTTTTATTATGAAATACCCATACATGATTTATGAAACCTATAGTTTAAAAAACAATAATAAAATTAATACCAATATGTTTGCCACTCAGCCTAAACAGTGTGATACCAAAACCTTAGAAACCCTCACGTGTCCCTTTTTCAGTTATGCTTCTAAAAAGTAACTTTTATCCTGACTTCTGTGAGTCACTCCATTATTTTTATTAGTAAATTTACCATCTATTAACTACTTCTCTGAACAATTGGTTGTTTAGCTTTGCCCTGTTTTAGATTTTAATTGATTGGACTTGACCTGTGTTCTGATATTTGCTTCTTTTCCTAGGCATTCCGCCTTCAGATTTAACCATGCCGATGGGTGTAAAATCACTCTGGTTACTTGTTGCATGAGTTCGCCTCAATTTATCCATTCTATTTTTAGTAGAGTTTTGCGTTTTTCCAGTGCTTTGGTTATATGCATATTTTGAATATTTTGCTACTATAATGTTTTGAACATGGTTCCTGGTGTACATGTGCAGTGGTTACTTTAGGGTCTGTAACTAGGAGTTGAATAATTGGATCATGGATATGTACGAATTCAAAATTTAATAGATAATGACAAACCGTTTTCCCAAATGCATGTATCAGTATTCATTCCATCAGTGCCAATGAATGTAGGTAGTTGTTTTTCTTTTTTTTAAATCCTCACCTGAGAATATGTTCATTGATTTGGGAGAAAGAGAGAGAGAGACAGAGACACACACACACACACACACACACACACACACACACACACCCACACCCCCAATTGCCTTCTGTACACACCCTGACCATGGATTGCACACACAACTTAAAATACGGGCCTTGACCAGGGATTGAATCTGCAACCTTTTGGTGTACAGGATGACACTCCAACCAACTGAGCCACCTGGCCAGGGCGGTAGTTGCATTTTTTAATTCTTGCTGATACTTGACATGGGCAGACTTCTAACTTGCCAGTCTAGTGGTGGCGATGGTATCTCAATGTGGTTTTGATTTGCACTTCCATGATTACTGATAATGTTGAGCATTTTTAATGTTTATTAGCCATTTGAATTTTTCTGTTTTTGTGAAATGACTTTTAAAATGTTTTTTATCTGTTGACTTGTCTATTATTTATTTGTGGGAGCACATTACATGTAGACTAGATCCTAATCCTTACAGGTTATGCATGTTGCAGATATCGGTCGTGGCTTATTTTTTCACTTTCTTCAGTGGTTATCTCATGATGAAGATAAATTCTGGTTTAAAATTTATCAAACTTTTGGGTCTGTGCTCATATTGTTTAAGAAATCTTTTCTTAACCTGAAGTTAATATATTCTCCCATATTTTCTTATAAAAGTTTTATGGATTTATTCCATACATTTAGGTTTATAATCCATGTGGAGTTGATATCTTTTTTTGTTTGTGTGTTTATATAGTGCCAGGAAGGGGGTCCCAATTTATTTTAAATTTAAAAAAATTAGTTTTTTTAATGTAGAAACCAAATTTTTCTAATATAATTGGTTTTGTTTTTTTAAAAATTGATCCTTTCTACTTTTATCTGTGTATTACCCAGTCTGTCATATGCTGAGTATCCGTAAGTGCTCGTGTCTGTTTCTGGGTTTTATTTAGTTTTATTGCTCTATTTCTTTACACTTTTTTCTATGCAGTCATAATTAGTATAGATTTATATTAGGCTTAGGTATTTGAGAATGCTAATGCCTTTTTGTGTTCTTTAAGAGTGTCTTGGGTTTCCTTTGCCCTTCCATATAGATTTAGTATCATGATTTAAGTTCAACAAGTGATTTTGATTGTAATTACACTGAGGAAAATTGATATCTTTTTTGTTATGAGATTTTCAATCTATGAATAAGATATTTAGGTCATTTTTGACATTCTAAGGATTATAATTTCTTTATGTAGCTCCTGTCCATCTTTTACATATTTTATCCTAACATTGTAGATACCAAGTTATTCCAATATCATTTATTTAGTTTTATTTTTTTAAAGATTTTATTTATTTGTTTATTTATTTATAAAGAAGGGAGGGAGAAAGAGAGGGAGAGAAACATCAGTGTGTGGTTGCCTCTCATGTGCCCCCAACTGGAGACCTGGCCTGTAACCCAGGCATGTGCCCTGACTGGGAATCGAACCAGAGACCCTTTGGTTCGCATGGTGGCACTCAGTCCACTGAGCCCCACTAGCCAGGTCTCCAATATCATTTTTTTTAATCTATTTTTTCTCCTTTTACCTGTGCAGAATTATTTTTTATACTATTATAAATGGTAAATGAAAAGAAAAACCTCATTTTCTAACTGTGTTTGCTCCCTTGGTCTCAGAGGATCGTGTCACGCAGCAGTGCTGAGGATGGTTGGGCGTAGATAAGAGTGTAAGTCGGGAGTCCACGTGGGACAGGGTTGCGGTGGTCTGGGTTCCCACGGCCTCATGTCGGGTGGCGGGGTTCAGAGTTGGAAGGAACAAATCGATTTGAGAAAGAATTCCTTATGCTTTCAGCATCGTTAAATGCGACTTTTAGCTCTCTTGCTAGAATGATATAGGGAATTCCAGAAAGGGAGTTCAATTTCGAGGAAAGACATGTTTTGGTTTTGATTTTCTTGTATGTGAAGTCACAGCTAAAGACTGTAATAAAGTAATAGATAACATTTGATCTATATTAATTGTGTTCTTTGTAGCTTGCACTGTTCATAGTGCTTTATATCAATTGGATATTATCTATCTCAACTCTTACAGGCTATTGCATTGTAAATTTCAATTTTATATTGATTTTATAGATGAAGTGCCTGTCTTTCACAGATGAAGTTCTCTAGGGCTGTTCAGTTAGTAAATGGTAGGGTGGGATTTTTCTTTCTTTCTTTTTTTTTTTTTTTAATCCTTACCCAAGAACATGCTCATTGAGTTTAGAGAGCGTGAAAGGGAGGGAGAGAAAATTGATGTAAGAGAGAAACATCAGTTAGTTGCCTCTGCTACGCACCCCAACTGGGGACCGAACCGCAACCTAGGCATGTGCTCTGACCAGGAATCAATCCTTGACTTTTTGTTTTACTGGATGATGCTCCAACTCACTGAGCCACACCAGCCAGGGAGGTGGGATGTTAACCTAGAAAATCTAACAAGGAGTCTGCATGTTTAGTCATTTTATTACAGTGCTTCCCAGATAAAGATGTCAGGTAGACAATCGTAGAATTGAGGCAGTTATCATCTTAGTGACATAGATTCTATATTATTTGCGTAGAAGTGATAGTTGAATGTGATGGCCTTCTCAACGCAGGAATCACAGAAGGAGCAGAGCAGAGTTCTCTCCAGGTCCGTGGTGGGAGGTGGAGGAGGGCAGTAGTGATGTGGGGTGAAACGGGAATTGGGGACATATTAAGGAGCAAGAGAAGGAAACTTAAAGAGCAGAGAGTTATATTTACTGGATGCTGCTCATTGTCAAAGCATGTTTTTTATTTAATGAAAAGTCTCAATTATCTATCTTTTCCCTATAGGAAAGGTAAGTAAGATATAAAGGTGCTACTGATACCCCTGAGTGCAGAGCTCAGAGAGTTGAGTTTCTGTAATTTCAGTTTTGTAATCTAATTAATGGATGTGCTTCTAGGTGGTTTCTGAAAGTTTAAGAACTCTAACTTGTGTTAATGAGTTTTGTTATAAGTGTAAACTGTGTTATGAATGGATTTGGAGTAACGATGCGGTGTTCTAATGACTGAGTGAGACAGCCTGTAAGAATAGTTTGTCATTTTAATACTGCAGAGTTAGTAGAGTCCAGCACAGTTTCCTTTAAATGTACTTTTCTGCTCATTCTAACGAAAATTTAAAAACAATATTATAGGTGATTAATTTAAAAAGAATGGCTTTGAAAACTTCTGGATAATCACAACTAGTTTTAACACCGAAGCTAACATTGGTTTGTTTCTAAAGTAAATACAATGCTGTAAAAAGCACAATTGACATGAAAACATCAAATTCAAGTGACATTTATGCACTTAAAAATTTTCAGAGATTAGATAGATTACCTACTCTGTCAAGCATTTTGCTTTATTGAGATGTTTCCCCCCTTGTCATCATCTCCTAACAAAGAAAAGCAAAGATGAATAGTTTGTAAACTTGTTCCGCCTTGTCATGCTACCCATTTTTCTTCTCTGTTGTCTTGGTCTGTCGTTCCTCTTCAGTGGGTCTGTGGTATGCAGTCCCCTCCCCCTGCCTCCCAGCAGCCCCATTATCGTGAGGCAAGATGTAAACTCGAGGAGAGTCGGATACGGTGTTTCCTCTTTCCTTCTAATCCCTTA